CAAATTATCAATCATTTAGTATTTAAAAATTATATAACCAGATGTACCAAAATATGAAGTTGTGTTGAAACTTTGGTATTTTAAGAACCAAAATGACAATAATTCATATAAGTAACAAAATTAACTAAGTCAGGCAAAGAATTGTTTTTTCCCCAAATCGGTTTATTTCACTAAAAAACTTATGAAACTTTAACAAAAACTGCAGGTGTGTTTCTGTGTCTGGTGAATTGTTGGTTAAAACATGTTTGTTTTTCATTCAGTGGGAAGAAAATCCAGAATTTTTACTCAAGTAAAAGTAGGAATACTTCATAATAAAACTAAAAAAAGCTGCACAGTTTAGTAAAAATACTAACTTGTTTTAAAAAAAAAACTACTCAAGTAAATGTAATCGAGTAAATGTAACTAGTTACCACCAAATCTGCTCGTAAGTTAGTTTTGTGTTATTTTGAATGCACTAAGACGTTTGCACTGGGATCTGTGTGTGTGTTTGTGTGTGTGTGTGTGTGTGTGTGTGTGTGTGTGTGTGTGTGTGTGTGTGTGTGCGTGTGTGTGTGTGTGTGTGTGTGTGTGTGTGTGTGTGTGTGTGTGTGTGTGTGTGTGTGTGTGTGTGTGTGTGTGTGTGTGTGTGTGTGTGGCACCTCTTGGCCTCTTCCCCCAGATCACTGCTGCCTGTTTTGGCTCTCCTCTCTCCATGTCAGCTGTGCCGTGTGACTGAAAGGCACCGGATTACGTACACTAGGGGCCAATGGGTCAGCGGATAAGAAGTCTTCTCTGTTACCACAAATCCACAGATTAAACGTAGCGTCGAGAGCGAGTGCTGCCCCGGGGGCAAATGGGTCTGAAACACAACTCTGGGAGAGATTTGGCTTTACTCTTCTGTCGCTGTGGAGCCACGTGGCAACATGTCAGACTTTTTTAAACGTGTCCGGGTCATTCTGGGGTTATTGGTACCATTGCTGATGTGATATCTTAATTGGAAAGTTAATCCTGAGCTGAGGCAGCTGACAGTATGCCTGAACGATACAGAGAGAAATCATGCTGCAACATCAGCATCTTCTGCTTGCCTCAGGAAATGTGCAGCAGCATTATGAGTCTGAATACGCCGCCTTTTATTCTGCAAAAAGAGTAAACTCAGAGTATGTTAACGCCGCAGTGTTAAGATGAGATAAAGTGAGGAGGAGCAGGAGGAAAAGCAGCAGCAGATGGGTTTAGGGAAAGGTGCGGTAGGACAGTAGCAGGAGGGCCGTTGGTGACAGGCTCTTGTAGCGTCTCGTCTGCTCCAGTGATCCCAGGGAATCTGGGTCATTTCCAGCCTGTTCGTAACTGTTCCCGCTCCTTTCCCTCCCTTCCCCCCCTCCGCCCTGGGCGAGCTGCGACCCAGCTACATGCTAATGATGACAGAAAGTAAATGTGCTGCTATCGCAAAAAGAAACCGAGAGGCAGAGGTGGGCAGAGGACCCAAAGGTTGGACTCCAGTAAGAGAAGCACCACTTCAAGTAAAAGTAGCCAGGAAATTACTAGTTACATTCACTTGAGTAACTTTTTTTAAAATTTACTTTTATGTACATATTTACATTTTAGTTTTACTAGACTAATTTTATTATGAAGTATTTCTAAAATTTCTGGATTTTTTACCCACTGAATGAAAAACAAACATGTTTTAATTAGAAATCCTCCAGACTCAGAAACACACCTGCAGTTTTTGTTAAAGTTTCATAACTGAAAGAAACTAATTTGAAGTTTTTTTAAATTTGCCTGATTTTGTTACTCATGCGAATTGCTGTCAGTTTTGTCCTTAAAATACCAAAATTTCTACTTAATTTATATTTTGGTGCATCTGATTATATAACTTTTAAATATTACATTTTTGATAATTTGATCAGAACTTTTGACCAAATACTTTGTTTCTCTTTCTTGACTTATTAGCAGTTCTGCTGTGCATCAAACACCTCCTCTGTTATCTTTAACTTAAATAAGCTAAAGCTGCACATTAACTTTAAAATTTTACCGTTTTCAACTTTTTTCATACAGAATGATGGAACCAAGAAGCAAATATCCTTTGCTGCAGCTTGAAATCATTTTTACACCATTTTTGGCGCCCCCTGTAGGGCACGCCCATTTCTTCTCTAATCTATCACTTCCAGTACAGTTTCCTCTGGATCCTTGTTTTTTTTCTGCTTAGCTTTGAATAATATTTTATTATCCCACAGACGATTCACTCCCAACCATTTTACTCCTCTGATAAAAGCAATATCCTCCATCTATTAGGTTCCAACATCATGGCTGCAGCATTAGTCTGATCCGCTGTGCACCATCATTTCCACGAATACCTGCCTGGATCTTCATTTCCTGACAAAAAACTCTTGACTCAGTTGCCAAATACAGACAAACGCTTCCATCTTCAGCAAACCCGGTTTTAGGATGAAGCTACCTGAGTGTTTCCTGCACACATTATGCTCCAAATGTGCTGTGCAGCAGAAAAGTGCTGCAGTTCTTCTTGCACTCAGCTGCTAAAAGATCCAGGATTAATCACTGAATCCTGCTTTGTATTTTCTGAGGTGTTTGTGGAACACATGATAGAGAAAATCATTTACACGTGAAGAAAATGCTGACTAGAAATATGTTTTACACCATTTTTGGCGCCCCTCCAGCGCAGCGCCCTTATATCGCATGTAGTCCACACACACACACACACACGCACGCACGCACTTTCAGTCAAGTTTTATGTTTTATCTTTCTGTAAATCATGAAAGTTGCTGCTGCTGAGTAGAAATGAAACAACTTCTGTCACAGATTTGATTGGTTTTTCTGGTGTTTCTTTCTATAATCAGCAGCTCAACTCGCCAAAAAAGAGATACTACAATAAAAACCAACGCAAGAAACAAGTCGTGCTGTTGTTTGAAGGCTGCAGCAGTGGCTCTATGATTCATGGAGGAAACGGCCAAGAAAGGGGAAAATAGTCGCCTTTGAATGAGCTGCACTGTGTTGCTGCAGTGAATGTGCGGAGATATTGGTGTCAGGAGGCCGATCTCCCGCTGACACGGTGACACCGGCCTGGACGCGCATACACAGCCGCAAATTAATATCTACACAAACAGAAGGTTGCGTGAGACATAGTAGCTGCAAGCGAAAGGTTGCCGTGAATGTTGGCAGTAAATGAATAAAAACGGCTGATTTGCAAGGTTTTCAGCGCGTAAACTTGCTGGATTATAAAGGCAGAAAATCCCTTTGAGGTGAAAAGAAAAGCATGCAGATCATCTTTTGTTCTTTTATAAATGTTTTAAATTGATAAAACCTGGTGTACTACTGTTATTTGCGACCCTGCGTTTAAGAGAGCCACGCTTATATTTAATAGATGCTTCTTCTATAGCATTGCAGTCCTTGTGCATCCAGTTTGGGGCCGGATGCATGCAGACATTAAAGATTTACTGACAGCTAAATATTTCAGGATGGCTCCTTGTCAGTCGCCCTCACAATTTATCCCCCTTCGTCTGATAGATGGAGGCTCCTTTATTTACACCCGGTTGATTAAATGTGGGCGAAAACAACTGAAAAGTTGATTTTTTTTACTTATAAGCTCTTTTTAAAGCAGGAAAGTGAGGCAGCTCAGTTGATTTTTGTTTTATTTGCGGGGATTTTAATGTTTGGTGTTGAATGAACCGGGATGAGCAGCATTTATTGCGACTGAGTCATGAAATAAATAAATAAATATATAAGAAAATCCCGAAAGGGTGAAATTAGAGGGAGTGCGCGTCCTCTCTCTTTCTCTCTCTCTCTCTCTCTCTCTCTCTCTCTCTCTCTCTCCTCTCTCTCTCTGGAGAGGAAGAGAGAGAGAGAGGAGGGGGGTATCTGTGAAAATAATATCAGGCTTTTCCGTCAGAATGAACTTTACTACTGTATCCAGCCATGAAATAATCTGACCCGACACTTCAAACCATCTGCGCTATCTATCCGCCCTCTTATTTACTAAATCAGCCTGCGCACAAAACGGAGTGTGTGTGATAGCCCACTAAAAAACCCGAGGAGCCTGCCGGGCCGTCATAATCCCACACACACACGGACACACACACACATTCCTCCTCTGTGTGTTTTTTTTTTTTTTTTTTCTTTTTTTTTGCGCATCACAAACTGCACGCTGTCGACGCCGATGGGGGGAAATAAAGAAAACATTAATTATATACAGGAAGACTGTTTTCTTATCTGTTTAACAAACACAAAACTGTAGCTTGAAATGTAGATGTAGATTAAAAAAAGCAAAAGAAAGAAAATTGATGGGATTATTGCGAAATAGGGAATCTGACCAAAGCGTAAAGAATTAAACTCCGAGCGTAATGATGCGCAAGGCTGCGTTATGAATCCCAGCGATCACCCTCAGAGCCACAGGCTCTGGCTAAATATGATATTGTCTGTTTCATTCTGCAGCCTGACATTATCTGTGTTTTTTTGTTTTGTTTGTTTGTTTGTTACCTTGGGGGCAGCAGGGCCGTTTGTTTTCTGCCCAGTTGTGTCATTTCGCTGCGTAAAGCCGCCTTAACGCGCTCTAACGTTAAACCGGGCTGTGCGTCTGTCCGCATATTCGCTGCGCGCACTTTGTGCGACATAAAGAAGGCGCATAAAGGGAAGAAGGAAGGACAGAAGGAAGGAAGGAAGGAAGGAAGGAAGGAAGGAAGGGAGCGTCGAAACGTTTCAGGACGCGCAGCAAAATAAAAAAAGGGTCAAAATGTTGATATTGTGTTTGAAAAGGGAGGCGCTGAGGTTTCCTTTCCGCCCGATTGGCCGGACTTGACAGTGATTGACGTGCATCCATGGCAACCGCGCAGCCAATCTGCCAAGTCCAATAGGAAATCATCGGAGGGGGCTTGACTAGCTTTTTCTCTCCCCCCTCCTCACCCCTCCCTTAAAAATACATCTCGGCTCCGGCTTTAATTCTTCCCTGCATTCAGTCCCAGGCTACCTTGAAAAATATACCGCCGCTCGGGCTTTAAAGGCTCCAGCATCTCCGGTCAAGTTCACCGCGGCGGAGTGAGGATGCGGTAGCCGAGGCCCCGCACAGCATCGTCCCTCCTCAGCGGCGCTTCCCTCGGCTGCTCAGACGGGTTGGTCAGTCCGCGAACTTTGGGATTTGCCTTGGTTTTTCCTTCTTTTTTTTCTTCGTCTTTTTCTTTCTTTTCTTTTTTTTTTTTTTTTTTTTTGGTGCCTTGGATTGCCTCGGCGCACGGAAAGAAGACGCGGAGGAAAGAGAGAGAGGAGAAGAGAGCGAGAGAGAGAGAGAGGAGGAGGAGAGTGGAAACCCAGGAGAAGCCTCCATGTTTCAGCTGCCCATCCTGAATTTCAGCCCCCAGCAGGTCGCCGGGGTCTGCGAGACTCTGGAGGAGAGCGGCGACGTCGAGCGCCTCGGCCGCTTCCTCTGGTCGCTGCCCGTCGCGCCGGCGGCCTGCGAGGTCCTCAACAAGAACGAGTCGGTGCTGAGGGCCCGGGCCGTGGTCGCTTTCCACACCGGCAATTTCCGCGAACTCTACCACATCCTGGAGAACCACAAGTTCACCAAAGAGTCGCACACGAAGCTGCAGGCGCTGTGGCTGGAAGCGCACTACCAGGAGGCTGAGAAGCTGCGGGGCCGCCCGCTGGGGCCCGTGGACAAATACCGGGTCCGGAAGAAGTTCCCGCTGCCCAGAACCATCTGGGACGGAGAGCAGAAGACCCACTGCTTCAAGGAGAGAACCCGGCACTTGTTGAGAGAGTGGTACCTGCAGGATCCGTACCCGAACCCCAGTAAAAAGAGGGAGCTAGCTCAGGCTACTGGACTCACACCCACACAGGTGGGGAACTGGTTTAAGAACCGGAGACAAAGAGACAGAGCGGCGGCTGCGAAGAACAGGTGAGCTGGAGCATCACTGACCCGGTAAAGAGAGAAAAAATACAGATTTAAGCATCTGGAGGCAAATTTACAGCCAGCAAACCAGGCCGAACCACCCAGCATGAACCCAGCATGAACCCACTGCAGCATCCAGATCAGTGTTATTATTTACTATTAAAGGCTGATTGGTGACAAGAAACGTCAGACAAAATTATTGGGATGTCTCATTTATTATGAATGCAAAAATAGCTGCACTGATTTATTTTTATTTTATTTAATTTCTGCTTAGCAAGAAACAATAACAGAAATTTGAGATTATTTTTTTAAATGAAAATATTTGTTTTATCCTAATTTTGCCAAAATAAATATATAAAAACATTTATTTAAATCAGAGCAGATGTTGCTGATTATTGTATGTAAATCCTGCTTCATAAAATCATAATATTAGGATAAAAATTTATATTTTGAGAGTTGTTGTCATAATCATCCTAAAAAAAAAAGCCAAATTGGAGCTGATTTAATGTTAAAATATGTGTAAAATATATTAAATATAATAATAATAATAACTTTGAATATTTTCTGAAATATTCTAAAATATTTTCATCTTAATTTTCAGTGGATAAACAGATGGAGCGTGTTTAAAGCCTGATTAATAATATATTGTTTTTGATAATCATGCTAAAATATCCCAATTATAATTGATTCATTATGAAAATAGCTAAGAAAAATCTCATGTAATCATTTTGCAAACATCCTAAAACACTTTTATTTTAATTTTCCATGGATTCTCGGATGGACTTCCATCATGGCGGCCTGTTTTACGCATCTCCGTCTCTCTGTCTCTCTGCTTGCCCTCCGTCCAGGCTACAGCAGCAGGTTCTGTCCGGCGGCTCGGTTCGCTCCCTGGCGGATGAGGACGGCACGGTGGACCGCTTGGGGAACTCGTCCAGCCCGGAGGCCAGCCTGTCCAGCAAGGCGGCCGCCTCTGCCATCTCCATCACCTCCAGCGACAGTGAATGTGACATCTGAGCAGCGCGAACTGACCGAGTAAAGGGGGAAAAGACAATCTAATAAAACAAGTAACAGTGCCTGCGTCGAGTTAAAACACACACACACACACACACACACACATATATATATATAAAACACACCACTGACATTTGACGGCTGCCAAAACACGAGGGGACCCGCCATTCGTGGGTGCCATTTCAGGCCTGTGTGTTTGTCTGCGTGGAAACTGAAACCGGACATTTCACGGACTAATGGCGCCTGAAGATGAATTTTTTTTTTTAAAAAAAGGGACAGAAATATATTAAAAAAGAAAGAAGGAATGAAAGGAGGGATGAGTGTCCATCTGACCTGCTGTTCTCTGTGGGTATTTCATGTTGAAAAGAAGAACTGTGATATTTTTACTTTAAAGTTTTATAAATAATGTTTATTTGCTTATTTATAACGATCTGCTCTATTGTCTCTTCGAGTTTCATATTCATTTGCTTGGTGTTTTTAATACATACCTTGTACACAGGTGAACCTGTTGAGCATGCGCGCTTTAGTGACGTTGTGTTTCAGTAAAAAAAGCAAAAAAAAAAAAAAAAAAAAAGAGGTAAAGATAACTTAATAAAATAACTGTTGACCAAGGAAGATGAAAGTTTAGCCTCTTTTTTGAGCAGAATTAATCGATTTTCGATTTTAAATCAAGAACCTTTGGGCTGTTTGGTTTGGGAGATGTTTTTTTTTTTTGGAGGGGTTTTAACGCCACGGTGCTGCGTTCACTGACACGTTTCAGAGCGAGGAATAATTGGCCAACATGCTCTGCGTCGCGTAATGCAGGGTGACAGGGAGAGGTCACCGAGAGGCCGGCTCACGAACCCGGATGATCCGCGGGAGAGATCATAGAGATCAAACAGCGCAGCAGATTGCGGAACCTGGGCCGCCGCTCTGCGCATGCACCAAAACAACACAAACAATGCGCCTCCTTAAAACCTGCAAGTGTCTATTTTCCCAAGACGTAATCAGAGCGCAATGAATCTTTTAATTGGCGATGCGACCCTCCAATCTTATTTCAGCAACACGCCGCTAAAGTGCGCACGACTGATGCGCACATTTGCGCTTTCTGTCCTGTTTTAAAGTGAGAATCTGTTTATCTCGCAGCCACATTTTCCTCCTTCCTTTCCAACATTGGTGGAAAGATTCTTTTTTATTCCCGCTGCTTCTCTTTCAAACTCACTGGGACAAAAAAGCAAAAATGTTTCCGTTTCTATTGAGCGCAAAGGCGACAGGGAGAGTAGATGAAAAAGTCTTTCCAGCAGTCAATAAGGTTGTCAAACTGGTCAGCGGTAATCAGCGCTAATGATGGGGTCCGGGGTCCCAGTCCGGACAAAAGGGGCCCCGCCGCTGCTTTGTGCGGAAAAAGCTCCAAAGAAAAGGCTGCAGAGGACAGTCTGGAGCACCGGCGTGTGTGTGTGTGTGTGTGTGTGTGTGTGTGTGTGTGTGTGTGTGTGTGTGTGTGTGTGTGTGTGTGTGTGTGTGTGTGCGTGCGTGCGTGTGTGTGTGTGTGCTCATTTGTCACGTTGAAGGATTTAATTGTTATCTTCTTACTTGTAGCAGGATGCTGACTATAATCCACCAAACTTTCTGCTTGCAGTGGCCAAAAACAGGAAATTAAATTTAAATTCTTGGCATTTTAGATTCTAAGAAGTCAAGAAAAACTGTATTTATGTGTTTTTATCAATATGTGATCAGAACTGAATGGATGTTTGCAAACACTTTAGGTTGAAACTGGATCCACGGTGCAGATAAAAACTATAATAATAATAATAATAATAATAATAATAATAATGGTAATTTTTGAACACTTCTGCTGCAGCTTTTTATCTGTTACAGGGATACTGACTTATTTACATTTCGTCCCGTCCGCTGAATCTTAACACTTATTTTTATTTAACGAAACTAAAGTAAAATAAGAAAATTGATTATTAATCTAATATTTGTTTCCAGATCTGATCTGTGTGGAGGAGTTAAAACGCAGCTATATGCCAACAAAAACAAGCAAATGTTGATTATTTGAGTCTCAAGGCTTTTATTTTTTATTTTAATTTAATTTCAAACAGAAAATTGTAACATTTTTTTTAAATAAATTTGATTTAATTTTCGCCAAGTAGTTGGTTCTGTTATTATTATTACTGCCTTTAATTTCCGGGTCTGTTCCGCATTTGAGGAAAATGCTAAAATAACTGAAGTCTGTGATGCTCTGCTGCTTCCTGCAGCTTTTTATTCACTGAATCATTGAACTAATAAGAACATTTAATCATCAGAGCTGCTTTGTTTAAAATACACCTGACTCCAAATCCCTAAAAGTTTCTGCTTTACTGAGCAATTTGAGCGCTTTTAATGGATTTAAATCGCAGAAATGCGTGTTTTCTGAACAGACTGGCGCAGAACTGAACCACGTGGATGATTTAAGGACGAGAGTTTTTGTATCTGAGAGCCACAGAGGGAACAAACACCTAACAATCGGTGATCAGAGTGTAAAATATAGTAACTGGAGGCGACATTGTCTCGCAGCTGCGCGGTTCACTGCTTGTGTAAAGAATATTATAGCCCATAGGATAATGAAAGCTTTGCGCCTAAGAATCACTTGAGTTTTTCTTTTATTACATTAACGCTCCGTGGGAATTAAATAAGGAGGAAAAAGCGACATTATTGTGTTTCTTTGCATAAATCTGGAGATATTTTGCGTCCTTCATGTCCATCCTGTCTTCACTAATAACTATTTCTACAACCCAGATTGCTTGTTGTTGTTTTGTTGTTGTTTTCCAAGGTTGCACCATTTTCCACACTGAGATATTCAAAATAAATAAATCTGATCAAAACATCTCAGGTCACAAATCAAAAACCTGCGGATGATCCTCCTCCCAACGGCTTTATCCGCAGACAATGGGAGGCAATGGCATGTGCTCAGGTTCTGAAGGCTCTGCAGAACAGAACAATGGACTTCATCAACAGCCGGACACGGAAATGTCAGTGGCGCCCCCTAGTGGCGGCGGGATCCGCCCGCACGCCGCGGAGTGATCGTGGTTTTCAGCTTTATGGTGAATTTCTCGATTTTTGCCAAAAATAGTAAGTGGATTTCTGAAACAGCAAAAAGGAAAAAAGGGGGGAAAAAAAGGGAAAGTTTCTTTCTCTAAATCATTCATAAGGAGATACACTGCAAAAACACAAAATCTCACCAAGTGTTTGGTTTAGATTTGAGTAGAAATATCTTATTTAGTAGCTTTTCAGCAGGAAATGAGAGCAATAATTCCTTAATATTGATGACAGTACAAGTCCATTGGCAGATTATTTCTCTTATTACACTGCAAAATGTAATGTCTTGTTATAAGTGAAATAATCTGCCAATTGAACTGGTATTTTCATCAATATTAAGGAATTATTGCTCTGATATCTTTCTGAAAAGTTACTTGTAAGATATATTTGTTTCATTTCAAGTAAAATATTTGCAGTAGAAAAATACATGGTAAGATTTTCTGTTTTTGCAGTGCATATACCAGCCAGTTGATGTTCATAAGAGTCAATAGTGAACTATTTCAGAAAACTGGCTGATCAAACACTGCAAAAACACAGAAAACTGGCTGATCAAACACTGCAAAAACACAGAAAACTGGCTGATCAAACACTGCAAAAACACAAAATATTACCAACTATTTTTTGGTCTAATTTCTACTCTAAATATCTTTCTACACGTTAAGACGACGTAACTAACTTAGAAGTAATTTTTTTTTAAAGTATAGGAGTTTGTTTAAAGTAAATAATCTCGTCGTATTGACAAATAAGTAGGAGTTCCAGATTGTGAGTTATCACCACTATTAATAAATTATTGACTAAATACTCTTCTATCTTACTAAAAGTTAATTGTAAGTTAGATTTTTTTCTTATTTCTAGTGAACTAAGATACTTGAAACTAGACCAAAGACTAAAGTTTGCGTTGCTCAAAAAGATGAAACGAAACAGCAGCATAAGTTCAAACTATTACCGAATAAATTATCTTAAAATGAATTATTTACTTAAAACAAGCTCCCTTATCTTGCTAAAAAGTTACTCTTAAGTTAGTTTATCTTTTTTTGAAGTGTGCTGAGATATTTGTTCTGACCAGACCAAAAATACTTGGTAAGATTTAATGTTTTTGCAGTGAATGCTCTGCAGGGTTCATTTGGGAGCGATTCACAAATCCAGGACAGATTTAGAAAGAGTCAGATGTGTTTTTTTGCAGCAGCTTTTAGAAGCGATTCCGTCAGAAATGCAGAAGCTGGGACTGAATTCTGCATTTCACATTACATTTTACATTACATCCAACAATTCCTCGATTGCTGTGCAGAGATTTTGAAAAAGCACAACGCAGCCACAGCGTGCCTCACTGAAACAGAGCAAGAGGCTGGATTTTTGGAGCATGCAAAATAGCATATTTAAACAAACAAACTTGCTGAAAATATGAATATGAAATATATGAATTTCTTTATCTTTTTTATGTAAACCTGCTTGAAGAATTCAATTAATCTCAAAGGATGCACAGCAAATAAATCCTCTTTTAAATTCAGGAATTTATGAAAATAAATTATTTACATGTATTTCATTCCACTTGTATCTGCAATTCAAACCAAAACAATATTCTACATTTAAAAATCTCCATCAAAGTGACAAAGACTTTGATTTGGGAAAAAAACAAAGTTCTTAAAATGTTTGTTCAACTTTCTGTTCAGCTGATAAATGTAGGAAACCGAAAGATAAACAGTATATTTCTCATTAAACCTTAAAAAGATGGAGATATTTTCCTCATATGGTTTTTATATTTGAAAAAATCTCCAATAAATAACAAAAACAAAAACTCACATGATTCACACTGAGTCAGGTTAATTATTAGCAAGCAGTAATTATATTTACCTGGTGATTTTAGCTCCTAAATGCTATAGAAAGTTGGCAGTAATGGTTCTGCCTCCAGTTAAAACACTTTTCTCAGTTTTGGGTAAGAAAAAATGTTTTAATAAATCAGGCTACAGGAAGCTTTATTGATCTTATGACAGAAGTTAAATTCATTAGAGGCTGCAGAAACTAGATTATGCTCCAGATGTAAGAAAATGAAGTC